AGTGCTTGCTGAGGGGCAGCCCCGTGTGAGGAGCTCTTCCCTGTGCCAAGACATGCTGCCAAGAAGGTTTCCTCTCCCATGGCCGCATCGCCCACCCTCCCTGCTGATGATGCCACTGCTGCAGTGAGAGTCTCAAAGCTTAGCCCTGATGGTTCCTTCTTGCAGGGAGACTTGGGCTGGATGACCAGAGGCTCCATGGTGGGACCTTTCCAGGAAGCGGCGTTCGCCTTGCCTGTGAGCAGCATGGACAAGCCAGTGTATACGGACCCTCCTGTCAAAACAAAGTTCGGGTACCACATTATCATGGTGGAAGGCAGAAAATAAAATATGAATGACCGTTACCGTGTTGACTGCTTGAATCCCGAGAGCTTCCCAGACACCGTAAGCTTGGAGCGGGTTGGTCATAACCAGCAGCATGCTTGGAGGCAGCCAGCCATCCCTGCCTTCGTGGCAGGACGCACAGATTACAGCTGGCAGAGAACAGGGCCTGCCTGGAGAGGTAAAGCATTCCCTGGAAAAGGTCAAAGAAGAGCTTTCCACAGTTGTTGAAATCTGCCTTGCCTGGCAGATGGGTCTCTTGCTTTTCTGGTTGTGGAGACAATGGTCTGACCACCTGAATAAGGTGCTCGGGCTGTTATCTGCAAATGCAAGTGGTCCAGAAAGGGAAAGGCGTTCCCCAGGGCCTCGATTGTTATCCCCGTCCTGGCCAGTGAGGGTGCGGGCAGCTCCTGTGCTGCTGTCTCTGCTCCAGAGCTCAGACTGGGCCTGGGAGGACAGTCCCTTTGGCAGAGGGTGGGTGATGCCACAGCTAGAGCTGGTGGTCAGTGCCCCGGCAGGCGGCTCACTCCTGCAGATAGCCAGCAGAGGCGCGGGTGAGGCCGGGGCTGGGGGCACCCTGGCTGAGCAATGGCGGGCAGGGGTCCTCCTGCACGTCAGCTTACCCGTGCCTAAAGCTGCACCTTACCCGCTCAGCGCCGGGGGAAGAGGCTGTGTAATTCAGGCTGGAATGAGAGAAAAGCCGCTAAATGCTTGTTGCCTCCCGCACCCCTGCCCCGCTGGGCGTGCAGCACGTGCCACGAGCCTCGGGCTGCGCCTCGTCTGACGGACAGTGTGATCGGACGGCGTGGTCGATGCGAGTGAGCGGCGCGTTGCGCGCCCTGCCTCTTGGATCCTGGCGTCAGAGGGCTCCGAGGCGGGAGAGGACAGCGAGGACAACAAAAGGCCGTTCCTAAGACCATGTACAAGGAAGAGGTGAGACCAAAACCAGGTCAGGTCTTTCTCCTCCCGCTCTTTTTGGGGGTGTTTGTTTTGTTAAGAGAGTGGAAAGCTCAGAGAGGCCAAGGTTGTGAAGCTCCAGTTCGCTGATGTTGTTGTGAAAGGCAGGCAGGTCTTCTCACAGTGCACGGGCAGATGTGGCCTCGTTTAGGGAATGCTCTGTTAATGAACTGCTTGTTTCCAGGCTACCACAGCTTTGTTCTGCCTATTAGCAAAAGCACATTGGCACATCTCTGTGCCAACGGGATCATTGTTCGTGTTTGTCATGTCTCCTAGTACAAAGGATTTAAATTCAGCAGGCCAGTTTCTTCTCTAAAACCTGCAAAACTCAGCAAGGTGTGGAAGTGTCACACTGTAATACTGAAGGTAAACTCACTAAGCACTAAACATGCACGACATGAGGAGGCATCAAAAGTCCCTGCTGTGTTGTCACGAGGGAAGACGGTGCAGAAGATGGTTGGTGATGAGTGTACCCCAGCCGAGTTCACCTGCATGGTGGCAGGGGGGGCACGTCTGATGAGCAGAGCGTTACCAGGAGCCAGAACCAAGGTTCTGACTTGAAACTTGCATGTTTCTGAGCTACGAACCCGCTTTGTTGTGCCTGCACAACGTACCTGAGAGAAATATTTAATTGACCACAGCTAAACTGCTTGTGGGAGGAGGGTTGGAGGACTTGCTTACCAGAGGAAAAGCAGCTCAAAACTTTAAAACCGTTATTTCCCCATCCTGCTGCCTTTGTGCAGGAACAGGCTCTGACTGTACCATTCGGAGGGCAAAAGGATGGGGGGTGAGGCAGACAAGGTCAGACTGGAGCCTCCTTTAAAGTCCTCGACTCCTCCAGCAATACCAAAAGATTGGAGGTGTTCTGCTCCATGCAGCAGTCAAGGTCTGTCACTCCAGTCCTTCTGTGCCCCCCCTCCTACACCCCTTCGCAGCAGCCACAGTCTGGCAGGCACCCGAGCAGAGGGTGGCTGCAGTACCACAGCCCGTGTCAGAGCTGGCACCGGGCAGATGGGGTGCTGGCTTCCCTTCCTCGGAGGATTTATAGCAGCAACCAACTTCTTTTTTTTTATTCCTCCACAGCACGTACATTCTCAGACCACCTTAAAACCAGTTGCAGTAGTTCTGTTCTCTGCTTGGCACCAGCATGTAGCTCACCCAAACGCTGGGTGACGCTCAGGCAGGCAAATCGCCTTATTTCAAGTCAAGGAGGGAGGAACTACAGCAGTTTGGGCATGACACTGCTGGGGACCCACACCCTTGGCATCCTCTCAGGAGAGAAGCAGAATGCAAAGGGCAGAAAGATGAAGCCAGGGCTGTGAGCTTGGAGAGGGGCTTAGACATAAAGAATACTTTTTTTTTCAATTAAACAATCAGGCAGGAGCATGAATTGGTTTCATGTTTGTGACCTGAGTCCACAGTGAGGTCCCTTCCCCAGCACCTGACCACTCAGTTCTTAGACTGTTCCCTCACCCAGGAGGAGGTGCTGAATTTGTTCAGTCACCATGGAAGGAGTGTGCGTTGCAGCCATCAGTCTTAAGCTAGTTTAAAGAAAAAAGTCACAGGGATGCAGTTCATACAAACGTTTAATGAGAAAAAGACTGTACTTAATAAAGGCAAACATATTTCATTTCTGGTCTAGCTGTCTATACAAGTTTAAAGTCATGAGCATAATTTCAGGATCTCCACTTTTTATATCCAGGGCTTGGAGGAAACAGTTCAATGCCTCCTGTAGTTTTCCGTCCTCCATCAGTTTCTTCCCACTATCTACCAAGGTGTTGTAATCACCTACGGCAGGAGAGGAGTTCTGGCCAGCCTCTCCCTCAGAGGCGCTGGCCTGGGTGAAGTAGTCTATCTGCTCACCCAACTGAAGCTCAGCATCGCCAGTGGATTCCTCCTGAGAGGACTCGGTCTCGCCTGCTTCAGACTGCTCGGAGGGCAGGCCGTGGAAGGGTTCTTCAGCTGTATCAAGCGTTTCTCCAGCAGGTTCTTCTTCAGTCTCAGCAGATTCCCCACTACACTCTTCAGCTTCTTCTTCCACAAGGTCGTCTTGCTCCTCATCACTGTCATCGTCATCTTCTATATCAGTGGTTCCCATCATTTCTCCGATATCTTCAACCTCATCTACCACCTTGTTGATGAGAGAGCGCCTGGAAGCAGTAGACCTGTTACCACTGTTAGTTAGTTGGGGAGAAAAGATGGCTTTTGCTATGTTTCTGTCACATTTAGGAGTGGACGCACTAATTCCTTCCAGAAAGGGATGCAAAGGGCTGTTCAAGGGAGAGGGCCTTTTTTCAGGCTGGTTTTCCTCCAAGATCATAAGGGAACAGTCTTCATCCTCACTGTCTGAAACAATTCTCTGTAAGCATTTCTTTCTGCTGAAAGCAACGGCCTCACTGCTTTCCTCTGATGCCTCACTCCCTTGCAGGGAATTATTTGGCTCTTCTTCAGCGGCGTGACAGGGTTTTCCACAGTCGCTGCTCTCACTTGGCCCAGTTTTCGTTGGCGATTTATAAAAGCTTTCTGCTTTTAGTT